GGGTTCCCAAAGGGACTTGGGGGTTCCTGCGGCCCGGCGGGACCTGACCTTGTAGCCATGGCCTCCTGGCCAACGCAGTTCTCTGGCGGGAGGAGGGAGAGCCCCGGAAAGACCGTTCCTAATTCAATTAATTCCAAGAAGAAGAATGAGACAGAGACAGGCGCTAAGAGAGGCCGAGAAAGAGGTTCGAATAACTGGGCACCAGACAGACACTCTGGTATGGAACATGACAGCCCCAGTCAGCCCAGGGACACCGTGCTACGTTCCCGCGCTGGAACCGGCAGGAGAGTTGGTGGCGCCAGAGCCACACTCAGGTGCACGTCTCCACCCAATGCCATGCCTCTGCTCCCTTGGCAGCTTCTGGGGGATTCCCTCGTTCCCTCCCCAGCTTCCTCTCCCTGCCCTAGAGGGCTAAGGCGACTCCACTCCTGGCACGTCCCCTCGGAAACCGTTGCCTTCCTCGGTCTTGGCCTTTTTCTCCCCTCCGCACTCCCAAGGTCTGTTCTTTTATCCAGTCGCTTTAGGATGGAGAAACTTTCAGAGAGTAGAACAGCCCTCCAGAGGCAGCTTCACCCTTTCTTACTGCTTCTCACCCAGGGAAACTTTGTTGAGAATTTTTAAAGATTCAGGACAGAAAGGCCGCTTCAGGATTCGGAAGCAGGGCAGGGTTTCAAGGATTCTCAAAGTCCAGGTGTCACCTCTGCTTGGGGCGCGTGGCCAGCACCTGGATGCTCCAGTCCTGAAGGAAGAAAAAATGACAGTGTCTTGGGCTGTGAGCTGAGAAGCCTGTTCTGACAGCAGAAGCCCATCTGCCCCCTCCCACTTCCCACAAAAAGAAGCTTTCTCCTTTGAGTACATTGGAGCCGACAAGGGCAGGCTGCTCCTCTGTCACATAGGGGCTTGGGAGAAGAGGTCGAGGCCAAGGCTGGACAGGTCTGCCCCGTGCTTTCTCTTTCTTCTCACCTTCCTTGAGGACCAAACTGTGGCATGTAGAACCATACCTTAGTCTTAATGCCTCCTTCAAATCAATGGACTCCCTCTAGAAGTAGATGTCTTCATGGTAATGATTCTGAGGAAGAAGAGGAAACAAACATTGCCCAAGAGAGAACGAAATATCTGACCTCTGCCCAGAAATTCTTGTATCCACCAGCTTGTGCGCTTTCCCATGAAAGAAAAACATAAGTCCGTGGAGTCTCTGGAATGTGGGAGCTTTCCTGTGGCTAACACTTCATGGGGCTCAGTATCCCCTAATGGGTTATTGGACTGTCTCCTTGGGTGACAAAATCAGAGCTGAGACGTTCACTGAGGGTCAGTGGCTCACTGTCCTGGTCATGCTTGGGATAGCGTTAGAAGGTGTGGAGAGAGGAAGCAATGGGTTTCCTTTCCTTTCCCATCAGATGGGCAAATGGCCTGGGCTCAGGGACACCTCTTTTTCTGTCAACTTCCAAACACTGGACTTGGAATGGGGGCTGGAAAATCAGAGGGAACATTCCCTCCTGATTGAACCTGGCTCTAGGGCCGATGAGTTAGGTTCCAATGTCCAGGGATTGTGCTGGCAGCTTGGAGATCCTGCTGCTCAGAGTGGAGCAAAGAGGGTGTCATCTCTGCTGCTCCCTTTTCCCCTTGGCCCCCACTGTGTCGTGCTGGCCCCTTTTCTCCTCCCCTCTCCTGTTCCTGGTGCTTCTCTGCGTGTGTGCGCAAGTGGGGAAAGCCAATGAGAGAGAGAGACCTAGGAGGGGAGGACATTGGGGGCCAGGTGTCCTTACACATTTTCTTCTCCTGCTCATCTCTGACATCTCACCAGGGAAGTTGAGCATTGGGGAGGAGGGCGGTGAGAGGATGGAGCACAGCCAGAGTGCAAGGAATGTGGGGGAAGGGTCAGGAATCAGGGAAGGGGAGGCTGGAACAGACACAGCATTCACAAGAAGCAGAAAAGGAGGTGCTGGGGGTATCTGGCCCCAAAGGGGCCCATGTGCCCTGTCCCATGGATAACAGATGCTGTGGCCCAAGAGTTGTTAACTTCCTTCGAAAGAAGCTAGAATCTGGCTTCATAATTGAGCAGTATTGGGGTAGCTAGAAAACTGATGCTAGAAGTCTGTGGTCTAGCTAGGGGAGCCACTTGGAAGGATCTTTTGCTTCCGGCCCCAAGCCACCTGGATCCTGCCCAGCCTGGACTTCAGAGCAGGTTCTGGAAAATGGACTGAGGGGAGAGAAGCCCAGTTAACCTTGTTCCCAGGGCAGACTAAGAATCAGGTGTTGGATGAGTGCCAAGTTTCTTTTCTCTCTAGTTGTCCCTGCCAGGCCTCGCCCTATGCCATTCACCACGGGTGCAGACCAGATTTCTTCAGGTTAAAACGTGGAATGCGCACCTTGCTCCACACTCCCTTCAAGATGTGAGGGAGAAGGAAGATTGGCCCAATCCTTTCTCACCCAAATAGGAGGGAATCAGAGGTCTGTAAGACAAGGGACAGAGGTCCTATTTTGTGATCCTGCTGTAGAGAAGTAATCCCAAGAGAATTCCAGAGAAGGCAGTGAAATTTTCAAAGAATTCCAGTGAAATTCTCTGAAAACTGTTGGAGAATTCTGGCAGGGTGTTGGAAAGGGTCTCATGCTAACCACTCCCCAGAGCCAGGCCCAGGGGACCTCCACCTGCAGTTAGAGGGGGAAAGGCTAGACGAGGGTCAGCACCGTGAAGCAGACAGCTCTGGGCCCCCAGCTCTCTCACAGCCTGGTCCTCTGTACTGAAGAGACTGGAGGAGTTAAGGGGTACACATTTAGGGGAACCAATGAGCTCAGATTCAGACAATATGATTCGATCTGCTCTCTGACATTTAGGACTTCCTTCTTGAACTACTTTTCCCTTCCCCACCTGTCAGGGCAATCTCATTTTGGGATCTCCATCCCAGTTTTTAAAGCCTTAGCAAGCCTGGCCTCAATCCTCACCCTCAAGACCAGAAACCCCATTTCAACCCTAAAATAAGCACAATGTTTTAAGCAAAACAATTTAAGTAAGCAACATCAGAAACAGGCCCTTTGGGAGATTCTTAAGCATGTTCAGGCTTTAGGATAGAGGCCTTTGGTTCTCAGATCCCTCCTCACATATTCCAGGACTAGGATGCAGTGCTGGGTGCTGGGGAGAAGGGACCTTTTCAGGAAAGCATGTTCAGAGCTGCCTCTGCCTCTGAGGCTCAGAGAAAAAGAATTGTGAGGCCACTGTGTCTGAGCACTGGGAAGAGGCTCCTCCCTGGTGTATTTATTTCCCTCAATACCACCCCCAGTTCTCTCCATCTGAACTGTGCCAGAAAAGGTGCCCAGATTTGGACCAGGGAGCATATGGTTAGGTCAAGCTTTATTCTACCCGGTGGGTACCTAGACTCAGACACCTCACAGACCACTGGGGTGTTCCTCTAACTTTATCAATACCCTTAAAAATGTCAACATTCCTGAGACCAAACTGGTCGATTTCTTTGAGTCCATTGAAACACAAATTTAAGATGGAAAAGAGGTTTCCTCCATTAATATTTTATCTTTATGACCTTATAATTTTTTTAATTTAAAAATATCCCTGTCTGGCTCAAATGGTTGTGTCTTTGTCTCTACCCACTTGCTTTTTGGAACAGTGGGCAGAGGGTTGTGAAATGACTGGCTGTTCCCAATCTGATCATTTTTTCAGTGATGAAAGATACTTTGTTTCCAGGGGAGGTATGTGTGTACAGTCCGTAGGAGTGTAGACCCAGCTATCATTGCCTTTGTGCTGGGCTGGTGAGAGTCTGGGGTCAGGTCTGGGAGGGACAGCTAGTATAGCTGTTTCTGTGCCTATTCCGTTTGTCTGAGGGGGTTGCACGGTGGGAATCCCACCAGGAATGTCCGGGGTTCCTCTCTCTGGCCTCTGCACAGTCACTTGACACTGACTCCTTCGCCCTAATCCCAACTCAATCCTCTTCTACCCCCTCAATGAAATGAGGCCACTGTGAGAAACTGGGTCCATCTTTGCATCTCATTTACATAAATATTTATTAATCGTCATAAACTGAACAGAAACACGCAATGCACTTCGGGTGTCCGACGGGAGTTTCATCTTCACTACAAGAGGAAGGTAAAATTTCGTAAGTGTGTGGGTGAGTGTGTGGGTGTGTCCCCTGTGGGTTTGCATTTTGCATCGTGTGTTTAGATGCCTGAGCCCCTGTCTCCTGTGAAGAGAGGTTCACTTTTTGCCCCTTTTGAAGGAAACCTCCAGCAGGAGCCCTCAGCCCTCTCCCGTCTCACCCCTTGGCATAAACCAAGAGGACTACCCGACAAAAAAAACCCAAAAAAACAAAACAAAACAAACAAAAAGAAAAACCCTCTCTAGACACCTGAAATCGCCAAGCGTCAGGTGCCCACCGAGGCACAGTCCCGGCTGGTGTGAGGCTGCTCCCAGGTCTCCGTCCCCACCCCCTCGCCCCCAGGAGGGGACGGAAGTAACCTCGGGGAGGGAGAGCCAGCAAGCTCACCTCCTTCTGCCCCAGACGCCTGTGCCCGGCCTGCTTGTGCGTGCGGTGTGGTGTGCGTGTGTGTGTCTCTCATGCAAACCCTCCCTCCCCAAAACCGACCCCCCAACAGTTTGCCATTCCATACAAATTTGGAAACAGGTTTTTAAAAAACAGCATGATGCACAACGGGGACGGGGCGGGGGAGGGCAGTGGCACTGGGGCCCCAAATCTCCGAGTCACTGATTGTAAGAACCTGGGGAGGGGAGGGGGCAGCGCGGCCCCCCACTTCACCAAAGTGCACAGATCCGCTCTGGGGCGGGGCGGCCCGCGGGCCGGGAGGGGCATCCCAGGGCCGGGCCGGGCCGATAGGCTCAGTCAGAACCTCCTTGCATAGATATTTGTGTCTTTTTATTATTATTATTATTGGTAGTAGTATTTTTTTTTTTTTGCCTTTTATTGCTTCTAAAAGTTCTTACTGCGTTTTCTCTCCGATCCGGACTCTGCGTTCGGCCTCCGTCGCCTCTTAGCTTTTTTTTTTTTTTTGTATGTGTTTGTTTTAAAAAAGGAAAAAGGAAAAACGGATTCTAGTTACAAATTGTCTTGGCCTTTCTCTTTCCTCTCAATCCACATCCCCTCCCGCCAAAATTAAAATTCCAAAATGCGGAGACTCGGGGTTGGGTGAGGGCGCTCCAGGCCCGTGCTCCGGCACCCTGACTTCTGCCCTCTTCAAGAAGGGGGGATGCCCTGCTCTTTTCTGCCTCGGCAGCTGGGTGTCTGTTTTTATAACAATAATAATGAAAGGGGAAAAACGCATCCCACAGCTCAGCTGCCCCCTCACCAAAGCCTTGGGGCCTGCAAGGAGGAGGAGCGGGAGGAGAAAACCAAAGTGAAGATATTGGGAATGGGGGAGGGGTGTCTCCTGGGAGCACCCGGAGAGAGGTCCCTGGAGAATCACTCCCTGGGAGAAAGGAGGAAAGAACCCCTTGGGGAGAGAGAAGGCAAGTCCCCCGGGGGAAGCGAGGCCCCTGGGACGGGCCACCCACAGGTAAGAGGACTGCGCTGCCCAGGAGAGCGGCAGGACCCGCGGCCTGCTTCCCGCGCCCCGCGCTGGGGTAGGTGGGGGTGTCCCTGCGCTGAGGGGCTGAGGGCAGGGGGGCGGGCAAAGGCAAAAGAAAAAGAAGGGGGCGGCGCGAGGTCTCAGTTATGAAAAAACGCATTGAGCTCCTCGTACATGGGGCCCCGGTCGTGGTGAAGGTGCATATCGTAAGACAAGAGATTCTCCGAGTGGACGCCCCCGCGCACAGCCGACGAGCCGAAGACTAGCCCATGGCCCGTGGGCCGCGAGCCGGGCAGCGCCGAGTAGTGCATAGAGTAGTGGTAGCTCTTCTCGTGGTCGGGCGACGAGTCCTGCTTGAGTGAGAAGTTGCCATTGAGACAGAGCGGGGGGCTAAGCGGGCCCTCATATTCCGAGCTGTTGTAGTCCGGGCTCGCGCCGCCACCGCCCGCCGCCGCATACAGCGTCTCATAGGCGGCGCAGTAGCCGTGGGTCCGCAGGGCGTGTGCCGCGCCGCCGCCCAGGCCGCCGGCCGCCTGGCACTGTGCGCCCGCCAGGCGCGAGCACGGGTACGGATATGGGTGCATGGCAAAGGGGCCGCCCGAGCCGTGGAAACGACCCGCGCCGTCTGCGCCCTGCTCTGTGAGGAAGTTGCGGGAGTTCAGCTGCAGGCAACCTGCTACCAGATTGGTGGTGGGCTGCGACAGACCCTTGCATAGAGTCTGCACATAGGACACTAGGTCTGGCCGCTTGCCGGAGCGCAGAATCTCCGAGAGCGCCCAGATATAGTTCTTGGCTAGGCGCAGCGTCTCGATTTTGGACAGCTTCTGCGTCTTGGAGTAGCAGGGCACCACCTTGCGCAGGTTATCCAGCGCCGCGTTCAGGTCGTGCATGCGGTTGCGCTCCCGTGCGTTTGCCTTCTGCCTCCGAAGCTTGGAGCGCTCCAGGCGCGCCTTGGTCATCTTGCGCTTCTTCGGCCCGCGCTTCTTGGGCCTCTCGCCTTCCGCCTCGTCCAGCCCTTCTTCCTCCTCCTCTTCCTCCTCCTCTTCGCCCCCCAGCTCGCTCTCCTCCTTGACCTCTGCCAACGTGGCCTCTGGCACCTCTTCTCCACGAAGGGGGACTGGCTTGGCGGCCCGGGCGGGCCCCGGAGCCCCCGGCCCAGGCGCAGGCGGAGGCGGCGGCGGTGCGTCGCCCTTATCGCTCCTCGGCTCGTCGTCGTCGCCGTCGCCCCAGCTGGCGAACTTGGGCACGTCCGAAAGGAGGCCGGGCTCGCTGAACAGGCGGGTCAGCATGGTGCCTGAGGGCGCCCGGCGGGCGGGAAGGGAGACAGACAGCACAGAGTGAGGGGCTTGCTGGGGTCACGAGGACCCCCCCAATCGCCTCCACCCCCGAGTCTCGTGAGGGTTCCTGCCCAGGGTTCCCTGGGTGCCCACGTTCTGCGCTGCCCCGCCCAGAGCCAGCCCAGCCCTACCCGGCTGCCCGCCCGGAATCTCGGCCCAGGCCCTCTCCCCAGCTCTGGGCCCCGGCTCCGCCCCTCGCTCTAATGGGGAGCCGCTCCCCGCACCAGGTTCTTCTCAGGGTCAGGGCGGGGACCGAGTGGGAGCTTTCGGGACCAGATATCTTTGCCAGAAGAGGCAGCGCGCCCGCCCTGAAAGCCTGTTCTCTCCCGGCGGTGGAGAGAGGATGGTCGGCCGCGGGTGGGGACAGCTGCCCCGCACCGCCGCTGTAGTGGCCCAGGTCCCTCGGCCTGGCTCACCCACCCCTCCTGTGGCTCTCACCCCCACGCTCCCTAATCCAATTTGCAACTTGGCCGCGCGCCGCCCCCTGCTCGGCCCCCACCCCCGCAGCCCCAATTTCAGAGGCGGGAGGATCAGTCTCCTCTAGCCGAAGCGTCCCCTGCTCCTGGAGCCGGCTCCGGGCGGCAAGGACTGAAGAAGCCGGGTGTGGGGAGGAGACTAAGAAAAGCGAGCCGGGTCCGTCTCCCCTGCGGTCAGTCACCCCCTTCCCCCTTCAAACTGCCTCCCTCCCACAGGGCTCTTCAGATCTCGTTGTATTTCGGAATTGAGGGGAAAAAATCCAAATTTGTTTGCTTCTCTCTCTCTCTCTCTTTTTTTTTTTGGTTATGGGGAAAGGTCGCAGGTTTTTTCGGGACAACTGTGGGGGGAGGCTCCCGTCTCGGCCTCTTCGCGTCCCCCACCTGGGTGATCCTGCTTTTCTCCCCCCTAGCCCGTCGCAGGCAGAGACACCTTCTCTGCAGCCCCCTGAGGCAGCCCCACGGGGAGAGAGAACCTGGGGCGCCTCCGAGGTCCACCAGCGAGGGGGGCATCTTCCTAGGAAGGGGAGATTCGGGACCTTGCTGTCGGCCGAAGCAGCCACCCCCCTCGCACCCGGCGGGTCAGATCCAGCTCCCTTTCGGACAACTTACCTCGGAGAGGAGTCGAGGGGAGAGGGGAGGGGAGGGGGAGGGGGCAAGAGAGAGAGGGGGGAGAAGAGGAATCTTCTCGCTTATTTCATTGTTCCCCCATCGTCAGGGAGCGGGGGCAGCGGCTCCTCAAGGCGGCGGGCGCCGGCGTCTTCAGAGCGCCGTGCGAGCCGCGGAGCGAGTGTGGCATCTCTACCAGGCGGGGTACCAGCCTCTATGCCAGGCCATATGGGCTTGGCACGTCACGGGCAGCAGCTATCACATGAGAGACGGTGATTGGCATGCGTCTGCATTGGGGGAGAGCCCGCTCCCCCGGGACCCGCCGCCATCTGTCACTCTCTACTCCAAAAAAAAAAAAAAAAAAATTAAATAAATAAAGGAAATAAATAAATATTTCTGCCGCCCTCCCCTCCCCGCCCAACGCAGGGAAAGCAGGGATTGAGAGGGAGGTGGGAGGAGTTGCCCCCCCATATGGAGCCCCCCCATATGGGAACAATGGGGTAGCAAGGCTGGAAATTGGGATTTCCCGATGGCCAATTCTAGGCTCCCACCAGGGTCCTGCTCTGTCCATTTCCTCTCCTGAATGCCCCAAAGGTGGGTCAGGGACCAGACTCTGGGGTGTGGAGAAGGGACCTCTGTGCTTGCCCCCACACCCCAGGAGGGTTCCTATGGCCACAAAGGGACAGCTGAGGCCCCCTCCCAGGGTAGGCATGGGGGTGTCCCTGGCCCAAACCCCATAGGTAGATGTTGGCACCAGGCCATCCCTCATCCCTGTCCGCCCCTCCCCCACCCTCCCTCACACGCACACACAACATATGTGGCTAAAGGAAATTCAAACCAAGGGAAAGACAGAGAAAGGGAAAGATTTGCCTGGATGTCTGTGCCTCTGCATGGGCGTGTGTGTGTCTGTGGGGACATGTGTGTGTGTGTGTGTGTGTCTGTGTGGAGTTAACTGATGGGAGATATTTCTTTGGTTGTTGGGGGTATCTGTATATTCTGGTGGGGGTGGGGAGGAACTGGTGAATAAGTCTATGTAACCACCTGAGTCTAGATTTCTAACCCAGAAACCTCTTACTTTCCCCCTTCGTGTCCTCCCCCTGTCAGACAGGTGACCATCCCACCAGAGGCACTCTCTGGGCCTTCAGACCTGGTTATTTGAAGGAGGAGGAAGGGGCTGGGCTGGGAACTGCCTAAAGTTCCTGGATGAGACCTGAGCATTCTCTTCCCCTTGCAAAAAATACTGAAAATACTGACACTAACCCAGAGAGTGGCAGGAGGACGTAGGTCAGACAGGTGTTTTGATAAGGAAGGTAGGAAACTGCTGTTTTATCTTGTAGCTCACCTTTCAACCCTCTCACTGGGCCAGCCACAGATGCAAATGGCACAGGTTGAGGGAGGTAGCCTTAGACACACACACACACACACACACACACACACACACCTGTTCCTCACCCTGTGGTGCAGAAAATGGATACACACTCCTACTCAAATAGACAGGAGTGTGGCGTGTGACCAGGTAATCACAGCCAGGTGTAGAGAGACCCTTGCCCACACCCTAGTTTGGCCATTTGTGCTTTTTAGACCCTCATTTTCTGCCTCCCCCCACCCTCTGGCTGATATAGACCATCCAACTTCAATTATACTTTTAATGTCAACCATGTGCCCAGCACTGTGGCAGTAGAAAGATGAGCCAGAGGAGGACTGGACCTTCCCTCTGGATGGATACAGTTCCTGCCCTCTAGGGGCCTCAAGAGGGAGCCTTAGGCTGGGAAGACACTGATTTGATGTGGGATGGACGGAATTCAGTCCTAAACAGAGACACACATAAAGGCTAAGGGGGCCTTGGAGAATCGAGTGCTGGTGCTGCCCAGGGATCTGCCCCTTGACAGAAGCCCAGGGAGGAAAACAGAGTCACCTAGGAACAGAGGTGAAACACTGAACTGGCTCTAGAACTCAGGTAATTGACTCTCAGACAAGTGCTCCTCCTAGGAACCCACAATCTGTCAGTGGTAGCCAAGGATGAGAAGCCTACAGTCAGTTTTCCTCCATTCATGGACTCTGGGGAGGTGAATCCCATCCATGGAGGCTCTCTGGGGTTGGCAGAGAAAAGGGCCAAAGAATGGACCTAGGTAGGGGCAGAGACTCTGGAGTGCTGATCAGCCCCCTCCCCAGATCGGGCACAACCTCTAAGGCTTTATTGTCCCTTTACTGAGGGCAGAGTCCTCAATTCTCTTAGCCCTTCTCCTTTAGTCTCTTGGCTCCATGCTATTTTGGCTCCATGCACTTGCTCTGGGTTTCTGATTCCTGGCCAACTCTGATTACCAACTTTAAAAAATGTTGAATGCCTTGAGGGAGTTTTATAACTTCTCTGAGTCTTGATTTCCCCATCTGTAAAATGGGGATAATTGTGCCACACCCTCAAAGGGCTGCTGTTAGTATCAATGAGATATTAAATGTAATGAGCTTAGCACAAATTCAGCAGTATAGTCAGCCCTCAATAAATACCAGCTCTTATTAAAACACTTGGTAAACTATAACATGCTTTACAGGATTGATTTCTTGCACCTACCCCACCCTACACACATTCAGAAGGTTTTGTCTATATAAAAATGGAATTTTTGTTGAATTAATGGGTGAGTGAATGGATGAGCAAGTGAATGAATGCTTCCCTGGGGAAGAGATACAACCTGCCTTCTCCCTCGGACACTGAGGGTGGGGTTAAACCCACCAGAGGTTTCACAGGCCCCTCCAGGCTAAAGGCAGAAACTCATTCAGGATTGGGTAGGTTTTGGGGGGGAGGGAGAATCCTCCTATCCCTTGGGTCGCCTGTCAGGAGCGACCTCAGGTGACTGGGTCTGAGAATCCCTGAGAAAAGGAGGCCTGAGGTGTGGGGGATTCCTGGGGGTACAGAGAACTTCATCCCTCTAGTTCTGTCTCCTGCCCCTGTCTTTTTCTTCCTTCAGAAAAATGGAACAAGTTTTTCTCACTCAACACATTTCAACTTTTTTTTTAGAAGATACAATAAAAACCAGGGGAAAATTGGAACAGAGGGAGGTGTGGGATGGGCCTGCCTCAGACATGGGCTTGAAAGAGGCACAACACGTGTGTCCACATACACACGAGCAAGCATGAACACGCAGGGACATACGCGCCCCTCTCTGCACCAGAGATGCAGAGATGCAGTGACGGAGAGACAGAAAGAGCCAGAAATGGAAGGAAGGAGACGGAAGGAGAAGGACACCCAGAGATGCCATCTGTTCCTCCCCCTGGCATTGGGGGAAGGGAGTTGGTGAGGGGCCTGGTCCCCTCCAGGTCTCCAAGAGAAAAAGGGGGGTGGTGGGCACCTTGGCCAGGCCTAGAAGACCCCATTTCTGCCACTTACTCCTCTCAGGGGGAGCTGGGAGCCAAGGGCCTGAGGTTCCCATGGAGACATAGCCCCATCCCAAGGGAGGCCACAGTCTGGGCACCTAAAATGGCTGCCTCAGAGGGGTGGCAGCCATTTTGTACAGACTCAGGTCCTGGGGGGCAGGGGGTGAAGGGAGCTGCAAGTGTGGAGGTGGAGTAGAGAGAAAGGGAGGAAAGGGTTAGGTCATTCCTGAGCACTCTAGGGGAATTGTGCTCAGGGGACAGCAAGAATGTTCTATGAAACTGCTGCATTATACCCCCTGCTCCGCCAAAATAAATACACACACACAAATCTGTAACTACTCCACTCCATTCTGACACCCAGAAGGAGAATTAGCCAGTCACTGCAACCCCCCCCATAAGATTGGTGGGGGCAAATGTGCTGAAAGAGAGACTTGATTTCCCACCAAAGCACCAGGCTTGGGGAGACAGGCAGCAGGTGGGTCAAACCCAGGTGTCCAGGCCCTGGTCACAGCCAGACATCTCTCTCCTGGGGCCTCCCTAGGTGGAAGGGGCAGGCAGATAAAGAACCAGTGAGGCATGGGGGAGGGGGCCACCTGTTCTTCCTACCTCCAACTCAGATTTGAGGGGAAGGACAGGAATTTGGAGATCCTCGAGGGGCTTGTGTTCCTGGCATTAGCTGTGCTGTGGGGGGTGGCTGGGAGGGGCGGGGCAGGCTGGCATTGCCCAGACAGTGCTTGTTTCAGCAGTTCGGGATGCTTGAAGCTTCCTCCTAAAGCAAAAGAGCACCTGTCACCCCTTTCCCCAGCCCCCTGCCCCACCTCAAGTCCAAAGGATGTTGGGGGAGGGGGACCTGCAGCTTCTTCCTGGCTGTGGGGTGGGCACCTGCCCCGTTTGCCCCCTCCTCCCTGCCCGTCGCAGTGTGCTGGGGAGCGGCGGGCACGCCAGATGGCGTGGCTGAGAATGCGGCGACGTTGCCGGGAGGTGAGGGCTGGCACGGGTGATATGCGGCTGCGTGCCTTGTGGTGCCATGGGGAGGGGGAGGGGAGGGCCAGTGAGGTGTAGCCCCCTTCTCTGTGCTGACCTCCTGTCCTGCTCTCAGGCTCACTATTAGGATTCTCTTCAACTTCCTTTGCCTGCTCCTGGGCTCCCCACTCTGGGCCTAGACCCCACCTGAGCATGGATGGGCCAAGCATGATGCTGAGGGTCTTGGGTCAGATCACAGCTGTGTCCTTGTCCCCTGCCCCACCCCTAAACTGGGACAAAAGACAATAGAGTAGACCCACTTGTCCTCCAGCAAAACCCACTCTCTCAGAATTGTTCTTTTGCTCTGAAAGTGGAGTGACCTTTGCTCTGATAACCTTTGACTTCTCCTTCTCTGATGGGCACTGGTCCCTGAGTTTCCCTTTGGCTAAATGCATCCTCATTCCTCACCAAGATGCTTCCTGGACACCTCCTCCTGGGAGTCTTCCCTGACCTCCCTAGGCAGGGCAGCTTACCATCCTCTGTTAGGATCCATTTACCTGTCTGTCTCCCTGGCTTGGTCATGGTGCTATTTGTTTTGTCTCTTTAAGTCCCATGCTGCTTTCTGCAGCTCTGAATTGGCACTCAATAAATGCTTGTTGCATTAACACCTGGCTGGGTTAGAGGGTCTGGGTCCTAGAGACTTTATTCAGAGATACTCCTAAAGCAGTGTCTCAGTCAAGGCCAGACTCCTCAACCCTGCCCTTGTGTTTTGGACAAATTTCAGCATGGGGAGGTGGACTTGGATGGCAGGTTACAGATTCTCCCCAAAGTGGCCCTCAGAGCGAAGGCTTGGTGCTAGGAG